CAAAACAAGTGACGTGGAAATTTCCATATTTCAACATTCGCACGAACATCTCCAACAGCCAGCAGATCTCTGGAACAAATAAAATATGATTTTTTTAATATACAGTTTTTTTTTATTAATATCTACTTATCTCTTGCCATATATACACAGAACTGAGTCATACATTATTTGTTTAACAACTTCATATTAAAGTGAGAATTTCTAGAATTTTCAATAGAATGTTTATTATGTAATTTCGCTATCAACTTACGATAATTATAATCATTTTCTATAAACTAATTTTTCGTAGAAAGTAACACATTGAAGCCAGCTATATTGTAACAACTCGTATTTGAAATTGGCAAGAAAGAGAAAGGAATTTTTGAACGATGAATCATCCAAGTTTGATTATCTTAACGTACACATACCTTTTTGAATTTATGCGTAAGCTGCTAATACTTTCTTTGCCAGTCACCTCGAATTTTGTACACGTCACAGGTTTACCATCCTTAACGTTGTAAAACTTTACAGACGCGCCTGCTCCATAAGTTGTGAATATGTCTTGATTGCCGATCATCCACGTTAATCCCACAATTGTATTGTCCACGGAAATAATTTGCTGACTGACATGCTACGCATGCATTCATACAATACACAATTATATAACTTCGAAGTTACGTAACGAAAGATTAAACTAACGTATGGTCTTTAATTTTTTGCAAAAGTTTGTATTAATCAATTCTTTATCTTTTGTTTCTGATCCTGGATGATAAGTGACTATTATTCATCGAAGATTAAACAAGATTAAACAACATTATATTTTGAAGTAATGACACATTCTTACACGCGGATATCACGCAGAAACGTAACGTGTTCAGGAACGTAAAAAGTCTTTGATTAAATTCCGTCTTCATTTAAAGATAATATTCATAATTAAAAGTCAAGACATTTTTAAAATTTTGCAAACTTTAGTTTTCCATTTCTCTAATTTTTTATCAAAATTTTTTTGCATAATGCAGTTTATTATATGGAAACATACTTTCGTAAGTCATGTTTTAATCATTTACAGAAAAATAACTTGTCAAAATACATAAAATACATAAAAACATTAAATAATATTTTTTATATTTCCGCAGGACCGAAGTTATAATTGTTAAGAAAGTTAAGATATATACATGAAGATTTACCTCGTCAAGGTTGTATATACGGATTTCCTTATCCGTGGCACTGCTGACAAACAGATTGCGTAACGGCGAACATTTGATACAGGTAATGCTACCTCCGTGCCTCTCATATTCATCGATTACGGGATCTACAAGCGTAGCGTCTCCTGAAATCAACAAAGGTATCATATTTAAAAAAAAATCTTATGCGAAAAATCTTATGTTCAACGGGTACGAACCTTCAATAGGAGTTACGCTATCCAGGCTGCATTTATAGATTCCACCACATAACGTTCCAACAACAAATATACTGGGATGCCTTGGTGAAAAATCAAAACTCGTGATACACAATCCCGCCTCTGCAGCGCGCTCACGCGTACCCCCGGCGCTTCGTGGTCTAGCACTTTCCACCGGATTACGTTCCTTGACTATCTTGAATCTGCAATGCAATGAAGAATGCGTAAATGAAATTGTATGATTGATTGTGATCAAGCAACCAAATGTACGCACCGTTTGTGCAGCTGAACGCTCGTAAAATTTGTCGTCAATTTGTGAATTAGTATATATCCATCTCTGCTGGAGCTAAGTAGCAGGGCTACGTCGTTCACAGATCTCGGTCTCCAAAATACTTGAGACACGCAATCGCTGTGCGTGCACACGTGCATGGGTATGACGGAATCATCGTTCCTAAGATTCCAGACCAACACATCCCCTTAAGAAATTATAGAAAAATTTTGTCAGGCGGATAAATTTTCGTAAATATCATTGTTAATTGAAACTGAAAGAAATTTTCACAATTGGACAATCCGGCCGCGAGGATAGCTGGTTCTGTTGGATGATAAGATAGCGTTGTGACACATCCATTCGTTTCTAATGTTTTAGTAGGCATATCCGTGACGTTATCTTCCATAGTAATATTGTACAACTGAATTGTGGAAAGATGATCGCACCACGTCTCGTGATAAGTATGACCGAGGCCTATCGCTAATGTTCCGCCGACGGTGCTCCATGATAAATCACTCACTTTAATCTACAAGACATTAGATTCATGATCAACTTCACATTTATCACGGATATTTAAGACCACAATGAAGAGTTAAATATAGAAAATTAGGAAAACAAGAAAACAGAACACTGACAATCCTCGGTAAGACAGAGCCTCTAGCACCTACTTTTTATTTCTGAATTTATGTGTATATTCAAGACAGTTGCTTATATCATTATAAAAAACTAAATTTAACACGGAAAACAATGTTTCAATATACAATTAGAACATCAAGATATTCTTTCATTCAAAAATAATTTTCTATTTCTAATACTTTAGATTTAATTCCTTATTTCTGTTTATCATGATTTGAGCCTTAACTTTACTGAAAAAGATATACCTGAGTATCTGTCTCTCTCAATACGCTTATTTTTTTCAATAATTCTACGGTGCCGATCGAGACCTCTGTGACATTTGGATCATACTCGTCAAAGGCATTAGTAGCGTAAGCTTCATCGAGAGCTTCCAGAATTCCTGGCGTGACTCTTTTTAAAAACTCCGCCAATTTATCATAATCCACTTGTACATCTGTTTTTTGTCCGTTCACTGTTTGGATCTAGAGTTATAAAAATTAATACAAAACATAATAAAATTATATAATACAAAACATAATAAAATTATATCAAATAAAACCAGTTATTTGGATAAAGTTAAGGTGGATAATATTAATAACTATTGACATCCTGTAGTTTACATGTTTCTAAAGAAACCCAGTTTAAACTGGTTGAATCAGATATAAAATAAAAAATTCCTGAATTTAATAAAATCTTTTAACTAACATACCCCGATACTCCGTGTTTCTGTAGTTTGTGTATCGTCATTTGTGTAGACTATTTCCGTTGTTTGAACATTTGCAGACGTTTCTAATCTAGAAAAGAACAATACAGTTTTGTTATTAATTACAGAATAAAAAACTACTATTTTTTAACAATAATTCGAGTGATCATCTTACCTTGCAGTAGACAATTCCGAATTGAAACTCACAACGTCAAAGGACTTGGTACTAAACATTTTTTCAGTCTTAGTTATTTTCTTTCTTTTCTAGGATTTAATTATGTCTTACAATTTTTTTAAATGTATAAATCGTAACCTTTCAAATTACACTATTCGCAGCAACTAATATTTGATTGTCGCTACAAATGTATACAACATACATCAGCTGATAGACTAATCATGCCATCTATACCTGACTGTCAAAATGTGCTGTCAGTGATGATGATAGACCTGTTCTTTTTGACTAAACTGGCTGTATTAAGGTAAATGTTTAGTTTAATCTCCCATCTCCGATTTTGATGAAATTAAGCTCATTCGACGCGTTTTTGCATGAAACGAAAGAATCTGGCAGAAAAAAAGTGTCGTTCTGCCCCGCGAACCGAGATATTAATCGTTAGTCAATTTCGAGGTTAAGAAATCTGTCATACCAACGTGATGCAACAAACTGAGTATGCGCAGTGGTCACGTTTGAATATTTGGTGACCACACATACACATGCTGTGCAGTCAGATGCGCACGAAATGTAAACTTAATAATACAAAAAAAGGAACATGTATCATTTCATCTTTATTGCTAATCGAATGTTAAACAAGGATAATATCTGGTTGCATTCAGGTGTAATTCTGAACGCAGCCCAATGTTAAACCGTGTATACATAATGTTAGAAATTGGCCTGAGATCTCAGAGGAAAAATTGACCAATCGCAATACCATTTCGGTCAATTGATCGATACGATTGGTCAATTTTTCGTCCATTTAATACTATTTCGATCGATTTCTAGCACTATGAACACAAGGCTTAAAGTTTAGCGTTGTTGATTGGTTACAAAGTATAGAAATTTTGGGAATTTAAAAACTGCACTATTATTTAGCCAATCAACACGTTTAAAAAAATCAATTTATCAATTTATTAATTTTAACTTATTTTATTAATTTATTTATTTACAAATTTATTAATTTTAATTTATTACGATGAAATGAAATATTTTAAGAGAAACCAAATTATACGGTCACATATAATAACATGAACAGAGAAACTTCCATGTTATCTCTATCATTTTTGCTTTCATTAGCCCCCTCCCCCCCCCCGACCAATTATCAACAATCATACGATTTATCGTAAACGAATATCGTATTGAAAACGCACGCACTCTGCAAATTCGAAACGAATTTGCAAAGCATAGATAATAACGTTATACTTCACAGTATCAGCACTTTTACGAAGTTATTTCTAAAGTCTAAATACCTGCTGTTCCCGGAGTCATCAAAATTATCATTCAAACGGGACGCTCATGCGCCTTCTCGGCGTATGAACGCGAAACGCGCGACGAGCAACGCACACGCCTCGCATTATAGCGCGATAATAATAACAACATTTCGCGCGCATGCCGCTCTAAAATTCTAGCGCGAATTTCTGGCCGCGTGCGCACTCGCCGTAACGCGTGTCGCATTTCGACGATAAACAGAGCCGCTTTTTGGATGCTAGTACGGCGCGACACCGGAAGCGTGCTTCGGTTCGTTTGCCGCCAAACCACCCTTGCGTACTGCGATGAAGAGTTGTTTACTCGGCTCACGAGCCCGCGATCGTAGTCCGTAGGATAATCGTACATCGCACGTGGATGCGCAACACGTTGTATTCCATTCGCCGACAAAGAGCTGTACGAAATCCTGCTGCGTAGTTCATCGAAACCGGTTTCGTCTCGCTCAAACTTCACGGATCTGTGGAATATATAATGGCCAAGGTTCAGCTGGCGAACGTCGCTGTCCTCGACAATCCCTCGCCGTTCTTGAATCCGTTCCAGTTCGAAGTCACGTTCGAGTGCATCGAGGAGCTGAAAGAAGGTGCGAGTCTCTGGATCCCGCGAGCATACGCGACAATCTTGTGCTTAATCCCGCTTTCCTCCGGAATCCGCGGCTCTTGATAGCCGTTCTTTAGGTTAATTTTTCAACTACGATTGGTCACAGCCGTCGATGACACAGAACTGTTCACGAGTTTTCCGTAATACGCTTGACTGCAAAAATGTGGGATTTGTTAACAATAAGGGAATGATGGCGTACGTTCAAGTGTGATGAGAGTCTTTGTCTGTAGAGTTTTTCTTGCAGTGATGCAAGTGAAAGAGCCGAGGAATTCTTTGAGAACCATTTCCATGAGATATCTATTACAAATTTTATTGGCAAAGAAGCTATCTGATACAGAATCTGTATATAAGACATATATAATATCGTTGGCAGAAATACAGTAAAATTTGTCAACAAGATACAACAAAGATTGATGATAGAAATTGAACAGAACTTTATTTCTTGATTTACTTTTTATCTTTTTCCAATTCTTAGAATAAAAACAAAAGTAAATTAAAGTCAATCTACATGATAAAGATGAATAGATATATTTGGTATATGTGATATATGGTATTTATTTGGTATATTTAATATTGATTGCTAGCAAAAGTAGAGCTAAATCTTATCTAATTTACATTTAGTAGATTCTTGATTTTTACTATTAATCTAATATAAAAAATAACAAAGGAATATGAAACAAAGGAATACTCTATAAACAGGATCTGAAGTTTAAAATAATTTTTTTATTTTTGAATTTATATATACAAGAAATAAAATTGCTTATATTGCTGATCATGTGTCGTTATTCTTAACAGGCTTGCAATGGGCTCAAACCAAAACTAAATTTTATCTCTAATAAATTAATAATTAAGTGATACTATCTTTTTGTTTATGAGAAATTCTTATTGCAAAAGTATCTTAGTGTAAAAAGTATTAGCTAAATATCAGAAAATTAATATTAATATTAATATGAGAAATATAATTCAATACAACTTAATATAATTCAATACAAATTTGCTATTAATTTATTGATATATCACAAATGATTCGCTTAGATGATCCAATTTTTTTGTATTATGCAAAATATTTTTATATTCTATATATTCTCTGTATATACATAATCAAGGAAAGAGAAAGAAAGAAAATAAATATACAATATTAATATTGTTTTAGATTTAGAATGGAAAATGATATATGTGGGCAGCGCAGAGTCGGAAGAATTTGATCAAGTTCTAGATACTATTTATGTTGGTCCAATCCCTGAAGGAAGACATATGTTTGTATTTCAGGTAAAATATATATCAGTTTTATTGTTTAAATGTTCATATTATAACATATAATTTAATAATGGTTAGCATTTCTGATTAATGTTCTGATTATTATTCTTTTCTTCCATTATTAGGCTGATCCACCTGATGTGAGTAGAATTCCAGTCAACGATGCTCTTGGTGTAACTGTCGTGTTGCTAACTTGTTCCTATAGAGGTCATGAATTTGTTCGCGTGGGTTATTTTATAAATAATGAATATACGGATCCAGAACTTCGGGAAAATCCACCGCCGCAACCACAATTCGATAAAGTTCAAAGAAACATACTAGGCGATAAACCACGTGTAACTAGATTTAAAATAAATTGGGATGATTGTCCAACTGGAACGGCGAACAATCTCCCCGAAGGTATGGATGCGCCAGCGTTGGAAGATACGTCACAAGACGCACCGACGTCCACATTAGGTTTTACGGAGAATACACAAAACGGTGGAATGGAAGTGATGTGAAGAACTATTTGCTGCTGATAAGAAAATAACTCGAGAATCTAACATTATACAACAATTCGAATGATAAATGTAGTACCTGGAAAGAAGATAAGGAGCAAAAAGTACACACTCCGTATATATATATATTTAGATAATTTAAAAAATCGCGCAAAATGACCTTCCATATAATAATTGATATTTTCTTTCTATGAGCCACAATTTTTACATTTTAAATGAAAACTCTACATGTTGGCAATATTTGTGATACATCTTGCATCTGAATAAAAAGAATGATTTGGATTGCCGAGTTTTCTATTCGGCACTTTTCTGTTTCTCTTAATTGAATAATATAAATTTGGAATCATAGCTTACCTCTTAATTTTATTTAAATAGATTTAAATAACTTGTGCAAGAAAGAAACAGATATAACAAATCATAATATCAATTGTGCACAAATAGAGGTTAAATATAATTATCATCTTGCTGTAATATAATATAGTAAATTTGAATACATGTTCTCATGCAATTTATATTTTTAAAATTGGAATATTTCAATGAATTATAATTTAAAAATTTAAACTAAAAAATATGTTTTTGATGTTTTAAGTATTATTGCTTATTATAACGTTGCATTAGATCATAAGACAGTTTCCATTTTTTATTAGTGTATATATATATATACGTACGTACTAAGAATAAAAAAAATACATATTATTGTTTTTTACTTGAATATGTGTTCTTTTGTGCAACCTTTACTCACCTAAAAGTTCGACTTAATTCATAATTATTTATATTATACGCAACATACATTTTAGTATTTGTACATGTAATACTTTTTAACATTAATATTAACATTCATATTTAAATTATGATTTAATAACTAATTGTTTTATTAACCCAAAATTTATATCATTTTATTTAAGACATTGTTAATTCAAGATTTTTAATGAAGCTGTAAACAATTAAAAAGTAATTTTCAGAACTGAGATTTTGAAATATAATTAACTGTGTTTGGCATGTTATGAATAAAATACTAATGCGTTTAATATTTTTTTTAATTTTAATATAATCATGTTCCTAATTGTAATATTTTTTATTTTCTCTATTTACTTTTGTATCTATTTTTAATGTATATATTTTTGAAATTGTTTCATATACTTGTACATTTTTTTTATAAAACTTTGATAAGATTCTATTTCTTTCTTTTAAAAATAATACAAAAGAATTATAAAATCAAGTTTTGAATTTTTGTATATGAAGAATTTAAATCTAAACCTTGCAAATATAGACTGTTAACTATTCTCAATGAATATTATTTTGATAATTAATCCATCCATTCACACACATTTATATTTATTTTTCTCAATACTTTTAGTAGATATTTTATTAGATTAACAAGTTATTTATAATACACACAAGATTAAGTTATTCATGCATATTTAATACATTATTATATTAAATCTAATACAGCAATAATACTTATAAAGTAAAATATAATATTTTATTGCGTCTGATATTAAGTATATGATATTATAAAATCAATTTTTTAAGGAGAAAATAAAGAAGAAATTGTTAAAACAATTGAAGTAGTTGAAAAGATCAGTCATTACAGCTATTAAATATACACAAATTTTTTATTTTAAAAAGAATTTTATTAAATTTATACAGCCGAGACTCCGAATTATACATATAAATTTATAATATAGTTAATTACATTTACATTTGATTTAAATTTTAATTTTTGTATTTTAATTTTTAATATATAATTTTTAATATATAATTTCGAATTTATACAATAAATTATGTAAAACTGGACAAAATAATGAAGTCTGCCACGATTTAAATTCTGAATCTTTCATTTTCGCTAAAATCCCGTATGTTCATTACTGCTCCTTTCATAATTATTCCCGATCCTGTAAGTTCGTCTTCCAATCTGTCTTTTCCCTATTATTCACTCCAGACTCAAGATGAAGATGGAGCTAGGATAGGTTCAGAAAACCGAATATAAGAGAGTAAGAGAGAGTACAGGGGATGACGCACACACAATTGAAGAAGGGTGTCCGTGAACATTCGAGATCTCGGATAGGCTGATGATACTCATGGATGAGCTTTCTTAATTGTGGGCGTCCCCCCTACTCTCGAGTCACTAACCTCGAGAGCAGGCACAAACTTGTTGCAACAGGTCAGTGCTGAATCAGTACTACTGATCGAACGTCTACAGGTGAATCGGTAAAGCGAGTGAACCCCAGTTAAATCCCGGTTAAACTCCAGTTTACGACGCAGAAAAACAAACACGGAAGGAAGTAAAGAAGACACACTCGTTGATAAAAAAAATAAATTATCCAGTTGAGTGTTTTTTCAAATTTGAATGTGTGTAACATCAGATTTGTCACTATATATAATAAAATTTCTTCAACAAAATGGTGAGTCATAGAAACATCTTTTTTCCCCATTATTTCGATTTCGCATTTTGAAAAAAGCGAAAATAGATTTATTTATCCCGGTGACCTATCTTGAAATTTATTTTTTTATTTTTGTTTCTTTTATGTGATATTGTAAATAATATCAACGCTACTTGTTTATATAATATTTATAATATAAATAATATTTTTACATTCGCACTTCCTTTTATGCGGGATATGATCGAAAGTTAAATTTTAATTTGAATTTTAATTTGAAACGCTTGCGGCTATTTTATTAAAGCATTCAATACATTTCGTAAAAAATGACAAGTGTGCGTATATATTTTAAACTGCGTATATATTTTAAACTGCGTATATATTTTAAACTAATAATTTCTTTGTGTTTTTTTAAAAATTGAAGTCAATGTAAATTGTCAAGATATTTATTGAAGATAGTGATAAGATACGATAATATATACCTTAGTTTACACGTGCTCTGGATGTAATCATTTCTTAATCGTTGCAATTCCACGTGCACATGTAGAAATCGAAATTGTACGAAAAAATTATGAATAAAAATGAAAAATGTTTAAGAGGAGACGCAAGTGCTTAAAAATTTTTGTGGATTATATATAGTATATATAAATTATTTTTTTAATTTGAGATTAAGCGTCGATTTAATCCGGAATCCGCGATTTTCAAGTAGTTAGAAGAAGTAGTTATTAAAGGTAGCTTAAAGAGATGAAACTAGAACTTTCTCGTCATCATTCAGGAATAAGAAATGTTAGAAACATGTATTGGATCTGAGTCACCAAAATACATAAAATTAGCTTTTGTATATTATTATTTACAATTACATAATATATCAATATATTGTTTTTTTATCTTTATTATATATAATATCGATTATCTTTATTTTTATTATATGTAATATATCATATCGATGATAAAAATAAATATTATTTAATTTAGCCTTCGTGAAAGATAGATCGTCGATAGACCTTCGTAGTTGAGACATGTTTGTCGACTACGATCATTTCTAGAATTTCTAAAATTTTTAGACTAAATTAAATCAAGTTCATATTAACTAATTTCTGGATCGTATTGATTTTTTCTTTTAAAATTATATTCTTTATATAAGCCTATATTAAAGAAAAGAACTTAATTAGAGCAATTTTCGTACAATATCGATTTCGTATCACTAATCAATATCGAATGTATAAAAATAATATTCGATCACTTATGTAAATTTGATTTTTTTTTGTTTATTTACATGACGCACATTATTCGAAATACGAAGGTGGCATTAATTAAATTTAAATTTGAATGATGCGATGTATAAAAGTAAGATCTATTTGACAATTCATAGAATTTGCGAAATTCGATATTATTTTTCATTTCTGACACCAAATATTTACTTCAGTGAAATGATAGTGATTCCAATTGTTCTTGTAATACAGGAAGATATTGAGAAGTGCAGTTAGATTTATCTAATTTAGATTAATATAACCGGATTTTAATCACACACCTAATGTTGTGAATATGGCTGACCTTACGGAATCGGCTTTTGTTTTTTACATGACTTATTGGACAAATATCTTACTCTGTAGTATTTTTTTACAAGTTTTAAGAATTTGAAAATATGTTTTTAAGGGAAAAGTATAAAATAAAGCTGTACGACGCAAGAAACTTTTTACATGTTATTTCTCGCCTCTGACGTCATAATTCAATATGGCTGCAGCGAGAAAGCCTTAAAAGTTTTAATGTATTCCAGTATCTTTGTAACTATTTAAAATATTGAATTAATTTGCAAATAAATTTTGTTGCATGTAATAATTTATTTATTCTAAGAATCTTAAATTACTAATTTCTTAATGATTTTTATATTCATGATAGCACAAAATTTTTCAATAATAAATTATTACTATAATTATGCACTTCTAATAAAATTATAAAAATGAATCTTTTAAAAGTGGAAATGCACATATAATGGTTTAGAAATTCAAAGAACAAAATTGTTATAACGACTCAAAAAATTTTAATATATATGTAGTAAAATTACTATAAACTTTTTTACTATAAACTATAAACTTTTTTGTGTTGTTAGTATAGTAAAAATTATATACAAAACATCAAATATCAAGTTTATATATTCTCTTATATTACATTTTATAATATTCTTAAAAGATATTCTTTTGCACAGTATATAAATATACTGCCATTAAAAATAGTAACAAGAAAATTAATAGAGATACTAAATATCACAGGTCGCATGTATTAAAAAAATTAGTATTAAAAAAAAAAGATAACGGAAAACGAAACTCAAACTTGGTAATAAATATAAGTGTTCATGAAACAATCACATTTATTATTTAAAATATTTTGATAATGCAAACATACATGAAGATCGAAGATATAAATTAAAAAAAAAAAAATAAAAAAAACCTCTTTGCGATCTGAAATAAAACGAGACTATATTTATTATCGGCAATCCAAAATGTTTTCTAAATTTGCTTTTCACTCCTAAAATTTAATTTTTAAGAAAGGATAGTGAATGCAGAACGCGCATAGAAAGATATTGTAAGTTCATGAACGATTTCATCATCCTTTGAGGAGAAACGAAAATACAAAGAAAATCTAAAGAAAAAAATTGTAAAAGAACCTTTCGACTTGAAATAATACAATACAGTGCAATTCAAAATATTCTTCAAATTTATTTTTTTCATTGTTGAAATTTAATTTTTAAAAAAGCGTAATACACTCAATAGAGATGTCACAAGTTTGCGAGCGATTTGATTATCCTTCGAAGAGGAGCGAAAAAAAAAATTTTTTTAAAGATTCGAAAGAAGGCTTTCACGAAATGAAACGTAATATAATATTTCTTGTCTGTATCACACAATGACATCGCATTTCTCGATATCACGCGTTGGCGGATGTGGTAGAACATGTTATTGTAATGGAACGAAGGTAATAAATAACCCTCACGACTTTCTTTATTGACGAAAACTGATTGCTTCGGAAAATACATAGATGTTCAAGGAAATGAGGAGAAGAAAGAAAGAAAGCGATATATTATTGACGATGAGGAAGGCTTTGTAGATGATGGCATAACTAACACTACTTCACGGTATGAGTCATCACCTGTCGTTTCGTTTCTTTTTCAATCGCAAGAATCTCTGAACGATGCCGGTGCATGCAGAAGCGGCAAATGTTTCACTCCGTAAGCTAACCCCCCCTCTCCCACTAGTGCAAAATAAATTTTTATATATTTTAAAATCAAGTGCTAATTAGATGTTCAAATTAGGTATCAAAATTAGGTACCTCGAATCGTTTAGGAAAAATTAAAAAATATTGGAGAGCTGGCTTAACATTAAGTTAGTCCCTCTCAATAAAATAAGAATTTATTGCTTAAACAAAAAAAAAATACAACAGAACTAATTAGATGCTAATTACTTGCTCAAGGTCGAAATTAGATGCTTGCTTTTTTTGGCAAAAATTCGAACTTAGATCATCTAAGTTCAAATTTCCAAACACACACACACACACACACACACACACACAACAAAATAAGAGAATAGAATATCAGCAATTCATTGAAGTAAGATTTTTGGTGCCTAATAATATTTTTTAAATTTATATTTAAGCCGCTTTCCTATTTTTTTAGAAAATTAAAAAATTGCTTCAATTGTTTCCATAAACTCTTGTATTGAAATATAACATGTTTCTGTTGCAGGTTTCGAAGAGAGCATTTATGATGTGCATGAGCGACAATGATTGTATCCCAAATATCTCTTATTGTTATGAGGTTTCCAAATTTTGTGTAAATTATATTAATTGCCGAAATTACAATCGTTTAAATGGTACAGCACCGGCACGTATTGCAGCGCAATGTGGAGCTTGTTTACAAGGGTAAGTTTGTTTTTTTTTTTTTTTTTTGTATTGGAATAATTTTTGAATCTTAGAATTAGATATTATAGTTTTATAATATCATAGTTTTATCTAATTATATTGTTTCCCTAATTGTCATTGATGTCGATATTCTTCTATTTGTTTTTTCACTTACTAGTTATCTATTCAATTGCGAAAAATATATTTTTCATAATAAGTAACATTGGAAGCAAGATTTTTCGAATCAAACTATCCTTATTAAGCTAATCCTTATTAAGCTAGCCCACCCATCAATGCAAAATTAATTTTTAAATATACTAAAATTAGGTGCTAATTTGGTGCTTAAGTCCGAAATTAGATTTTGAATCATAACACTACTAATGTTTAAAGCTCATGCTTATCTTACTTGTCGACGTTTAGATTTGTTTCTACTAAAGGTTTCTACTAAAGGGGACGAGCACCTAATTCAGCGACTTGATATCTTCAAATAATATTAAAAAACAAATAATTTAATACCACATTTGCAGGAGCATCTAATTTTGTAAGGTAACTTGTCTCTTGTGAGTTGACCATTCGATCGATGTCTAAGTTCTATAATATATTTTCAAAATATTTTTGTCGTTTCTTAGAGCATTTAAATTAGCAGCTAATTCTGACATATTTTTTTAATTCATTAAATATTATTTTTTGTTGATTGGGTGGATTAACTTAATATTAAGTTAACTCCCCGCCCCCTCCCCCAATAGCTTTTTAAATTTCAAACGATTCAACCATCTAATTTCGGACTTAAGCACTAAATTAGCACCTAACTTTAGTATATTTAAAAATTAATTTTGCGTTGATGAGGGGGCTAGCTTGATAGGGATTTTCCTGCCATATATACAATAAATGATAATATGTATATTTGCATCGATTTTGCAATAAGTCTAATAAATATCATTCCAATATTATCTTTGGTAACTCATAATTGATGTTAATTATATATACAAAAAATAATTATATATACAAAAAATAAAATTTATAGTAAATTTTTATTTATTTAAAAATATATATAATATTTTTTGTGATCATTTAAAAATTTTTTACGAGCAACAAATATCAATATAAAATTAATTTAATTCATCGAACTATGCTTCTATATTTTATAAAATAAATACGTTTGATTAGAATAGTATTGCACTGTAATTATCATTGCCAAAACCAATTGATATGACAATAAAAGATTTATGTGATATATTTCTATAATATAAAGAATTGTATTTTATCCTTTGTCTATTTTCCTGATTTATAGATATATAACCGAAACGTACACAACCGGTGAAGAAAAGGAACTATGTTATAAAGAAAATACAGGTAAATTCATATTACTCTTGAACTCATAATTAAAAAAAATTTTTTTAATGTGAAATTGCTCATAAATACTCTATTTTTAACATTAATTTTAATCATTTGTTATTCCTTTATCGAGAAAGTAAAAAACTTTATAAGAAGTATAATTGTATCGAAATCTTTTCGTTTTATCTTTTATTGTTCAATAAATTTTTTATTTACAGATGTCACAGAAAATTATATTGGTTTATCAGTACATACATTTATAATTGTACCTGTAACATTTCTTTTTGTCGTAATAATTTTGTGTTGTATATACGCTCTATATTACAACAAATGTAAGTATTTTAATTTTTATTTCTTATCAATTATTTTTACTTGAGATTTTCTTTCTTTTCTCTCTTTTTTCTATTTTTTTTATTTTTTGAATTATTATCAACACTTTTTATACATTATATATATTTATATTATTATACATTAAAATTATTTTTTATTATTAATATAACTAATATTTATTTATTTTTTAACTTAATATATATTAATTTTTTTCTATTTTTATAGCTACCTGTCCAATCACAAAAAGTATTAAATATATTTTTTCAAATATTTGTTCTATAGATTGTTTAAAAGCTGACCTTATGAGAAATAATACAGAAAATATTAATACATTAACAGTCGCGACGGCTCCAATAGAAGAACAAAGTAAGTATATTTTATACGTATATTATGTATATTTATGTGTTATGTATATATTATACGCATAACTTATCATTTGAATCGTTAGAAACAACGGAATTTTAAATAACAAATAACAATAAAAATATTTCTAAAAATGTTTAGAATAATTCAATTTCGAATAATTCAATTTTCTTTGTTATAAAATGAT